ACTCGTAATCGAATGAAATTTGAATCGTCATGGTCGACGGGAAAAGTTCGCCGTCGTCTGACGACCTAAAGGCTCCGAAGTACTTCGAATTATTTAATGCCGTTACCGAGTTGAGCGACAAACTCAGCCGTCTCGAATCTTCGAGTCCTACGACCGAAACCGTATCGGCACCGACCGTCCATTACCGGATTCTCCCAACGTAGGAAGCGCGATTTTGACCTTCACAGGCCACGAGTCCTTTGGTGAAACGAGCGATTATGTACTAGAAGGCCTCAGATCCCAACAACAATTCGACTGGTTGTTCGGTCGACGTCAGGTCGTGAGCACGTACCTAGATGACATCATACTACCGTCAGAAAACTGGGAGCTCATGATGAACGACCTGCGACGAGTGCTAAGTGCTCTACGCGCCGCTAATTTGACGCTGAAACCGTCGAAATGCACATTCGGTGACCATGAACTGGATTGCCTGGGCTTCCGCATTTCTGAAGGAACCGCCAAACCAGGCCGTAAGGTGCTCGCTATCGCAAAGTTTCCACGTCCGAATGACGCACATGAGGTGCGACGATTCTTGGGTCTGGCCGGCTACTTTAGGCGCTTTATCGTTAAGTACCCGTTAATTGCAGCTCCACTTACACGTTTAACCGGTAAGGACGTGCCGTTCGACTGGTTGCAGAAGCAAGAGGATGCTTTCATTGCGTTAGGCGAAGCCCTATGTAACGAACCCGTGGTCAGAATGTACGACCCGAACGCCGCCGTCACACAGGTCCACACGGACGCGAGCAGTCACGCCTTGTCCGGCGTTCTACTACAAGGCACCTCGAATACCTCGCTGCATATGGTGTACGCCGTAAGTAAGAAAATGACATCCGTGGAGACCAAATACCACTCGTCTCGTCTCGAACTTAATGCTAAAATTTGGACCCTCAACCACTTACGCCAGTTCTTGTTGGGCATAAAATTGGTCGTTCTCACCGATTGTCAAGCTTTGGTATATCTGAATGTTCACAAAACCGTCAAGCCGCAGATAGCACGCTGGTTTGAAGTGCTGCATGAATTTGACTTCGAAATCAACTACCGTCCGGGGTTACGTATGGCACACGTCGACGAGTAGTTGACCGAACGGCTCGAGGTATGCGTCGCCTTAACTAAGGGAGAACGTGTCCGGTTTATGCAACAAGTGGACAAACACTCCCGTAAATTAATCGTGCTCCTGGAAAGTAAGGGCAATTTGACGAAACAGGAAACAAGTCTGGTTGAAAATGTCGAGTTGTCATCGGGTGTTCTGAATCGACTGTACAAGGGACGTCCGTTACTCGTCGTGCCGAAGACTATGAGGAAGGGTGCCGTGATCGAAGCTCACGATTATGCGGCTACTTTTCCGTCGAACGGACAATTGCTCGGATCACCGCGGACTATTGGTTCTCGCGTCTACGACGATATGTGCGTCAACACATCAGTATGCACCTCAACTGCCTCATACACAACCAGCCGACAGGTAAACGACCGGGACTGCTACACCCGATACCACCAGGCAAGCATCCGTTTCAGATTGTCAATATTGATAATTTGGGACCTTTTGAAAACTCCTCGACTAACAAAAAATACTTGTTAGTATTGGCAGATAACCTAACGAAATATGTACACCTGTATCCGTGCAAGACTACTGACGCAGCCGGCGTCATACGCATTTTAAAGAAATTTTGCGACGACCGAGGGATTCCTGATCGGATAATATCGGACATAGGAACGTGTTTCACTTCACGAACTTTTCAACAATTTTGTCGCGATCGCGAGATCGCTCACACCTTAAACTCCACTCGACACCCCCAAGCGAAAGGTCATGTCGAGAGAGTGAACCGCACCATTTTGCCGTTACTTACCATTTTGACTGACGACCAACGGCGCTGGGACACGCGGGTCAAGGAAGTCGAATGTCTATGGAATACCACTGTAAGTAAAACCACGTCTAAAACACCGTACGAAGCGCTACATGGCTATTTACCACGTTTTCGTTCTGGCGCTTTATCATCGTTAAGCCGCAAGAAAAACCACAATTCCACCAGAATCTCTTGGTTCGTATGAAAAATGGAGTGAAATACAAAAGACTGACGTTATCCAAAGCTATTATGCGAATGTTCAATTGTTTGTCCCACGCAAGTTAAATAATGGATATAGTCACCGAATTTTCTTGAATCCTTGTTTACAAAGTTTTTGCGAAGAAATTCAGCGTTTTTTTATTCCAAGGTGATCCTGGATATGACATAGATTATGGATTGATCGATTTGTTCAAAGGAAGCAGAATAAACTCTTGATTGGCATGAATCCAGTTTACGGTACAACAAGCTCTTTTTGGTTACGTTGCCCTAATCCTCGACTTTTACCGACTCTTTTATCTTCTTTACCCAATTCGAATTGTGTAAGCGTTATGTATAGAAGTCAGTTTTCATATCCTGAGATGCGTTTGTCTGTTGTCGATATTAGTAGTTTATCAGCGGCTCTATCGCTTACGATGTCTTTAGATGGAATGAATACGGTTGTTAGCACTTCACCAAATAGAAAAAAAAAAAGGACATATTGCTAAATTATTTGACTCATTAGTCTTAAAATCAATTGGTCCTGCAGTCAGTTCAATCCTAATCGATGAACAACACGGTTTCCGTCCTGGCCGTTCAACTAACACTTGTAACATTGTCTTTTCTAGATATGTATTCGATGCATTTAACAATCGTTCACAGGTTGATGTTATATAATGGATTTTTCCAAAGCTTTTGATCGAGCTGATCATACTTTACTAATTGATGTTTTACTTAACTCTGGGTTTGGTGAACCATTGTTGTCGTGGTTTCAGTCGTATCTTCGAGATCGTAAGCAAATTGTTGATGTTCATGGTAGTAAGTCTGTTATTATTGATGCAACTTCTGGTGTTAAATCTATCAACATTTATACAAACGAGTACAAAACAAATAATGCATACATGTTGGTGTACATAAGAACTTCCACAGTAATGAAATTAAAAACCGAATCATCTGACTTCCAATTGTCACCACAACTGGCTAAGTTCGTTGAGGCTAAAAACAATTATTATAAAGATAGCATAGCATATGAAAAGGATAGTATAGAATCTGCGAAATTTATATCAAGATTAATTGAAGAAATTAAATGTAATGAAGTAAAAAAAGATAAAGGCGAAGCCATTTCGTATACCTGGCTAGTATCATTGGCAGAAACAAAACCTCCCGAGAACGTTTTTAAAATAAGCAACACACCCATTGTATGTCCGCATAAAAAATTGAATCCTAATGCATTACACTTAATCGAATACATTGGAACAAAACTTGCTGATAAACTGTATGATTTGTATCAAGGGGGTCCAAGACTTAAGTTAAATTCGTCATCATGTGATTTATGTGTTAGAAATAGATCTGCCTTATTATGCGTGGACAAATCAACCAAAGGACATAAACAATTAATATCCGAGATTCAACAATTTGACTCCTGAAATAATAATATAGATGACAAAAACAATGAACAAACTTTTTGGTTGGGAATACTATCGTCTCAATGTTGGAGGGGAAAATATATGAAGAAGTTTGAGAATTTTCTAAAACTTCACAAAATACTTCCTAAAGTAACATTGCCAATAAACAAAGAATTATTAGTTACCACTTGTAAATCATTAATAGAAATTTTAGAAGATACCCTTGTCAATGTAGGTATAGAAGAGAATAATATTGAAACAGATGACAGCACGGACAGTACATTATTTGAACCTGATTATAATATTAGTTTGTACAAATTTAAAGATAATATTATGAATGACTACTTTGAAAACTTAGAAATTGAACGCACTAGCATGATGCTCCATTTGAATGTCAACGTTGATAATTTTATAGACAATATTTTTGATATAGAAAATACAGAAAATGTGCCATGGACATTAAATGAAGATATAACACGCCCACACGGTATCTTATGTATAGCTGAAGAGACAATGATATTAGTTCCTCAAGAAGTGAAAACTATATTTCAACTTTACTTTCCTAAAGTAGAACTTTTTGCTAAAAACACCAAACAATGTAGACGGTGTAAGGCATATTATAAAAATGTATTCAATCCGAGAATGATAAATTTTATGAGTGGTGCCGTACAGAACAAATATTTATTTCCTTTAGTATGTGATAATTTAAGACCTTATCACACGGTAGAAAATGTTCTATATTTTTGCATTCCCAAGGACTTAATTAAATCTTGGCAAACATTTGTTGCCAACTCTCGTGAAAAACTTAAGCCCATAATGATTAATAACAAATCCCTCCTTTACCAAGATCACAATGAATTGTTATTTGAGCCAACATCTAATTTTGTCGCATCAGAGCATAGTGTATCAGTGATAATAACTAAAGAAAAATGGTGAAATCTGTTAGATTGGATGAATTGTGAATGAGAGTTGCCAAATGGTCTTAAAACGTCTTTTGGACTTT